GGAAGGCAGGCGATTTCAAGAGCGTGTAAGAGCCATCTTGCATTACAGGGAGGGGCACCCAGGAAAAGGACCAACTCAGCATAATTGAAGGGACACTGGAAAAGACTCCCCAGTGACAGGGGAAGACTCTCCAGTGGCAGCTAAGTGAAGACCCAGGGATGAATAGAAGACGGACAGAATGGATGACAGGGTAGAAATAAAGAAGAAGGGGTTCACACACACACACACAGTTTCTTCTGATGAGTCAGTCTGATGACAGAGTAATGAGGGAAACTGCAAAGGCTCTGGCTAGAGAAAATCAGAGCTAGGACTGTTCAGGGAAAGCTTCCTCAAGATGTTGTTTCGGTAAAGAAGCAGCCAGCCATGGTGAGGCTGGTGGCGGTGGTAATGGTGGTGGGGATTCCACACACAGCTAACAGAAAGCACAAAGGCCCACTGCAGATAAGAGCAATCAAGGGAAATGTGACTTGGGAGGAAGCTGGAGAGGTGGGTAAGGCAGTGGCCTTGCAGATGGAGGGAGGAATCTGGTTTGTGTCCCAGGTGCAATGGGAAGTCTGGAGAATGGCATGGTCTGGTGTCCGCTTTACACACTGGCTGCTCTGGGAGGATGAATTTCACGGGGGCAAGAGCAGAAATGCACCCCAGTTAGGAGGCTCTATGCCAAAGCCTTCACTATGGTGGAAGATGACCTATGCAGGGGTGACAGTGCAAATGGAGGGCAAAGGGCTCTGGAGGCTAGAGGCAGAACTCACAGGGCCCTGATGGGCAGGACTTGAGGGGAAGGGAAGGCAGAGGAAGGATCATTGTCAGGTTCGAGCTTAGTCTCTGTGGGGAGCGGGGGGTGGCGACCGACTGAGACGGGCAAGTCTGGGAGGTAGACAGGGGGACATTCTGGCAGGGAAGGCAGGTGCAGATACTAGTCTGTATCTCTGGGCTGTGATGTAATTTGGTAATCTCAAAATCATGAAACTGGCTGAGATCACATACAGAGAGAGGAGACAAACACCCAGACCTAAGATCACAGGCACTGGATGAGGAAGACGGAGCCCAGCTTGCCCACCCCTCCCCAGGCAAGCCTGCCTAGTACCACGTGCCCAGCCACGACAGGAAAGCAGCTCAGCAAGTGCTGTCAGCTGCCTCGAATGCTGCTGACAGGTCCAACGGGGTGGGAACAGAAAGAGGCTGCTGGAGGTGGCAATAAGGACTTGGCTGGGGACTTGCAAAGCACAGCTTCTGTGGGGCAATCAGGATGGGAGCCAGCCTGGAATGGATGGGAGCATGGATGGGAACAGAGGAAGAGAAGACAGCTTGTGCAGAGGCTGCTCTCCACAAGCTTGGCTGTGAAGGGAACCGGAGAAGGTGTGATTGCTGGAACAGGATGTGGCATCAGGGGAGGACATCTTTTTGAATAGTTGGGAAAATCTGCTGGGACTGCATATGCTGATGAGAACTAGGCATCAGAGAGGGAAAAAGGTGACAATGTAAATGAGCCAGATAAGAGGACAGGATCAGGAGGAGGGTAAGGTCTAGAGCACCATGGAGGGACAAACCCCTGATAGAAAGGACAGCGGGTAAGACTGGGCACACCACTGTCGATTTGGCGAGGGAAGGTGCGGAGCCCTGCCTTCTTCCGCCCTTAGCCCATCTGACTCGCATTTCGCCTTCAGATCTCAGTTCCAACATTACTTCCCATCATCGGCCCTTGGCTCAGTTACGTTACCTTTCAGCATCCTTTGTTCTCCATTAAAGCACCTGTTCCCGTTTGTAATTGACATCTGCCTGGTCTCTGTCTGCCCACAGTCTCTTCCCAAGAAGGGTACAGCCTGTGTCTCTCTTTGCCCCCACTGTGAACCCAGGCCTCGTACAGAGCCTGGCCAGGTAGGCAGCACCTAATAAGCACTTCTCAGCTGCAGAGACTGATGAACAAGATGGAATCATGCCTGTCGCAACCATCAGGCAATGGTAAAGGCCTAGCTTCTACGTAAAGAACAACTTGTGTGTTGATGCTGCCCCTTGCAAGTACAGGACTTTCTCTTAAACATTTTGAAAAATCACTCAATTTCTTCAAGATGTAGATGGGAACCACGAAAGGGTCTTGACATGATGAAAGTGGATCATGAAAGAAGAACCCTCAGCACTAGAGAATTGAGTCCAACTGACTTTCCCTGAAACATAAGGCCCTCCACAGAAGGTCCTCTCTTACCTTCCTTCCTCCTTAATGACTCCACGTCACTCATACTACAGCCAGGCTTCTCCCGAGAGGAGCAGAAGTTCCAGAGGGCAGGTTCTCAGGAGCTTCTGTTCCTCCGGGCATCTCCCAGACCTGCAGAGCCCGAGACAGGACGAGACCCGCAGGATGCTGCACCTCTTTCGGAAGACTCTCCCCACCACCCTTTGGTGCAGCGGAATCCTCTTTTCTTGTACCCCAGCTCCAGACCCACCATGTCTAAGATACCTTCTCAGACTCCTTCCTGCCTCAGGAGCCCCTGAACTTCTGGGTTGCCACATCATAGGATCCTGCTCACTCCGCTTGTCACACGGGTCTCTCTGGCGGTAAGGAGCTTTAACACTCCCATGGCATCTACCACCCACCTGAGCACAGGCTATCTGCTTACATTTTTTTTCTTCTGAGACAGTGTCTCTCTCTGTCACCCAGGTTGCAATGCAGTGGCACAATCATGGCTCATTGCAGCCTCAACCTGCCAGGCTCAAGTGATCCTCCCACCTCAGCCTCCCAAGCAGCTGGGACTATAGGCACACAGCACCATGCCTGACTAATTTCTGTATTTTTTGTAGAGATGGGGTTTTGCCATGTTGCCCAGGCTGGTCTTGAACTCCTGGGCTCAGACAACCTACCTGCGTTGGCCTCCCAAAGTGCTGGGATTACAGGCATGGGACACCGCACTGGGCCTATCTGCTTACAATACACGGGGAAATGGGAAAGGAAATGACTCAGCAAAGCCCCCTGCCAGACAGAGTCCTCCCAAGCGTCTCCTATCAATGTGACATCCTCCCTTACAGCAGTCAAAGTGTCTATACTTGTACCCAGACTATCCCAACGGCAGAACCAACTTCCCATTGTGAAAACACAATGACGTGCAGGCTTACTGAGCACACGCAGGGGCACCGTTGACTTCAATGAGCCACACCTTCAGCTCCTCATCCACCATGAAGTCAAAGCCGAAGAGCTGGAAGCTCTGGTAAGGGAGGTGCTTGGTGCTAATGGCAGGCTCCACGCTCAGGAGGCAGTTCCTATGAGGCGGGAGGGGAAATGCTCATTAGAACAGGGTGGTCAAAGCAGAGGGAAGACATGAAGTGTGCTTGAAAAATTTTATATGAGATGAATACAAATACCAGTTTTGACTTCATTCTCTCTTTCCCTTTTTTTTTTTTTGAGACGGAGTTTTGCTCTTCTTGCCCAGGCTGGAGTGCAATGGCATGATCTTGGCTCACTGCAACCTCTGCCTCCTAGGTTCAAGCAATTCTCCTGCCTCAGCCTCCCAAGCAGCTGGGATTACAGGCATGCGCCCCCACACACCCAGCTAATTTTGTATTTTTAGTAGAAACGGGGTTTCTCCATGTTGGTCAGGCTGGTCTCGAACTCCCAACCTCAGGTGATCCACCCGCCTCGGCCTCCCTAAGTGCTGGGATTACAGGCACAAGCCACTATGCCCGGCCTAATTTCTCTCTTTTCAACTCATTACCATTAGGTTATTCAAGAGAATGTTACTTATCAAGCATTTGTTAGAAAACTCTGCAACCACTCATGTTCTTCCAGGCAAAAGCCACTTTCCCATGTCTCAAGAAGCAGTAGAGTGCCGAGTCGCTGTGGCCTCTATAAATGAAGATTCCTCCAACAGCTGGGCTGCTGCCATGTTTGTTTATAACACATAAAACATTTCCATGTATCCTTGCCATGTAAAGAATGGACTGCCCTTTGGTGAACGCCAGGATTTGCAAAAAAAACATGTTGACCTCATGATTTCGCTAGTTCTAGTTCTAATGGCAAATTATTGCTAATTAAAAGACTTAAGAGCTATGCAAGTTGAAACTAAATGTTGAAAAAAGAAGTATTATTAGCAACAATGAATGGAAAAATGGCGCGATTTTAGTGACACAGAAAAAAGTTGAAAGTGAATCTCGGAAATATAATGAATGAACAAGTACATGAAGTCTCAGGTCAGGCCAAAATCTTGGACAAGTGATTGCTCAATGGATAATTACATAAGGAACTTGTCATAACTCCTGGCACCTAGGAAGCATTTAATAAATGTTACTGTTATGAACAATTTTTCATATTTCATTATGATAACCATGTATCTATTATTTAGGAATAATAAATACCTCTTACCTACAACTATCCCAGAAAACCTATGCCATTTCTGTTTTATAAAGGTCTTCCCTGATTTTTCACCCAACTGAATGCTGGGGCAAAATATTTCTCTCAGTAAATTAAATGTGCTACAATGACTCTAGGGGTACCAAAGATAACTGTCCTTCTACACAGCTGTGTATCTGGAAGGAAAAAGATACAGGGGTCGGCCGGGCGCGGTGGCTCACGCCTGTAACCCTACCACTTTGGGAGGCCGAGGCGGGTGGATAGCCTGAGGTCACGAGTTCGAGAGCAGCCTGACAACACGGCGAAGTCCCATCTCTACTAAAATTACAAAAATTAGCCAGACATGGTGGCGGGTGCCTATAATCTCAGCTACTCGGGATGCTGAGGCAGGAGAATCACTTGAACATAGGGGGCAGAGGTTGCAGTGAGCCGAGATAGCGCCACTTCACTCCAGCCTGGGTGAAAGAGCAAAACTCCATCTCCAAAAACAAAACAAAACAAAACAAAACAAAAAAAGATACAGGGAACTGTTGTTCATGTGACTAAGACGTAGCTCTAGATGCAAGTTTTGACTCATGACTTTAATAAAGAACTGAGTCCTTTGTGAACTTGAAGCCTGGGTCAATCCTCCTCCCTTGGCCCCCTACAAACTTCAATCTCCTTTTCTTTTTTCCTAAAAAGAAAGTATTTTAATAGATACATTTAAACCTTTAAAAACTATTTTGGTTTAAATGGTTCTTTTAAGATGACTCAATTAAAAACCAATTATAATAAAAATTTCTTCTCCCATTCATATTCAACCTGCATTGACAAGCACATATCACATTAACAAAAAAAAAATACCTGTTCTACACAAGAATATCCTTAACTTTTGCTTTAATTAAAATATTCTTGGCCGGGAGAGGTGGCTCACACCTGTAATCCTAGCGTACTGGGAGGCCGAGGCAGTTGGATCACTCTAGGTCAGGAGTTTGAGACCAGCCTGGCCAACATGGTGAAACCCTGGCTCTCTGCTTTAAAAAAAAAAAAAAAAAATTAGTTGGCTGTGGTGGTGCATGCCTACAATCCCAGTAACCCAGCAACTCGGGAGGCTGAAGCAGGAGAATGGCTTGAACATGGGAGACGGAGGTTGCAGTGAGCCGAGATCACACCATTGCACTGCAGCCTGGGAAACAGCAAAACTCTATCTCCAAAAAAAAAGCAGGAGACAGGGTCGCACTCTGTCGCCCAGGCTGGAGTGCAGTGGCCCAATCATGGCTCACTGCAGTCAGCCCTGACCTCCCCAAGATCAAGCAATCCTCCCAATTCAGCCTTCCAAGTAGCTGGGACTACAGGCACACACCCCCACACCCTACTACTTTTTTTGTATCTTGTAGAGGCAGAGTTTTGCCGTGTTGCCCAGGCTGGTCTTGAACTCCTGGGCCCAAGTGATCTGCCTGCCTCAGCCTCCCAAAGTGCTGGGATTACAGGCATGAGCCAATGTACCTAGCCTGTTTTAATTAGAATATTCTTTAAAATATTACAATTAAGGAAGATTTCAAAGTTGAATAGATGCTCATTGTAAAAAAAGAGAGAGAGAAAATACTGAAATATAAAATGGAGGCCGGGT